TAGTCGTTACTTTTTTTTTACGACTCCACACCCCTGCTTAATACAATAAAAATAATATATATTTCTTGAGCAACGTAATAAATGAGAATATATTTTTAAGAAAAACTTATATATTTATCAATCTTGACATGTTTCGTAGTTTACATACTACATTTTCAAAAGATAAAATTACAATATAAAACTCGCTAAAATTACTATTCAAAATAAAAATTTGAAAACATTACAGAGAAATAAGAACGGACAAATAAAATTGTTACGAACCAATAAATAGCATACTGTAAATACTATAAATAGCATAAATACCGTAAATACCATAAAAATAATAAATTATAAATATACAATAATAAAAATAATAAATAATAAATAGTTTTGTAAATAGCATAAAAATAATAAGTAAATAAAACAAACTAGATAATTATCAATCTAGTTTGTTTTATTTACTTATTATATTTATAAATTTATATAAATTTATATTATAATGAACAGTTTTTTTACTTTAAGAATAAAAATAATAAATAATAAATCGTTACATTTAAAGAATAAAAATGATAAATAATAGTTACCGTAGATAACATAAAAAATAATAAGTAAATAAAACAAACTAGACTGACATATTTATATTATAATAAACAGTTTGTTTATTTAAAAATGGATTTTCCCATTTAATATGGAGTGCTTCTTAAATTTTTAATTTGTTTTTGTCAAGAGCAGTTTCCAAAATTTTAAAACAAATATAGTTACTTAGATTTTTACAATTAACGGTTGAAATTAAACGCTTATAAACATTAGATTGTTTGTCACTTGTAAGATGCTCATGAATCTTTATCGTTAGGTACCTGGAGGTTTCTCCAATATTACTGGCAATAGTAATATTGGAGAAACCTCCAGCTTAATAATAGCTTACTTCCTCTTTTATTCGGAAGGTCTAACTCTTTTATTTAGAAGGTCTAACTCTTTTAATCGGAAGGTCTAACTCTTTTATTTAGAAGGTCTAACTCTTTTATTCGTTTTTACAATTTACAAATAATATTTTCACACCTTAAAGCTAAATTTCTCACTTCTCTTAAAGCTAGATATTATCACGTCTAGAATCGATGGTATAATTACTTTTCATCGCTTTTATTTTATGTCCAATTTGTTTTTTTAATTGATGATCAAGCTGGATTGAACACCAGGATTAATTAAATTCAACAATTCGAAAAGAAGAAAGTAAAATAAAAAAGCAACACCACAGTCTTACTTCAACCAAATCAATTTCTTACCTTGTTTCCGTTTTGTTGTTCCTCTATAACAATGTTTATGGCGAGTTTGCGTTTTTTTTTTAATTTCTCGGTAAAATTCTAGGATTTGAAAAATTTCCCATTAAAATTATTGTTATTCGATCAGTGTCTAATATTAATTTCGATAAATCAGGATTGTTAGAAATTTGTCTAATTTATGTATCAAGATATAAACACTTATGTATACTAATTGGTCACTATAACAAACAACTTAAAAATCTAACAGATTTTTCTATTAATCTTCAATGTATAGATAACTCCCAGATATAAAAAAAGTTTTGATGAACTGAATTATTTTAATTTTGCTTTTATGGAAGTCATAAGATTTGAAAATAGATAAACAACATGTACGCGTTTATCTTTATTTCTTGCTCAACGAAAGCAATTTTAAGGTTTTTATTTACATTTTTTTCTCTTTTTTTTCGAACCTCTCCTTTTTTTCTACCAGTACAGTAACTCGGGAAAACTGTTTGAATCTTGAAGGACTTTTTTTTATGCAAACAAATATCCAATGAAAATGCTTGCAAAAATGAAAACTTGTAATTAATATTTTACTTACATTTATATTTTAAATATAAACAAAGTTTAAAACACGAATAAAATTATTACACAAAAATTTAGTAGTTATTAAATTATTAGCTAAAAATTTTACTAACTGTTTCAAAATAGGTAGTTTTATCAATTATAAATAACTTGTCCTTTTTTTAAGAACATGTGATATATATATATATATATATATATATATATATATATATATATATATATATATATATATATATATATATATATATATATATATATATATATATATATATATATAGTGATAATAAAATAAAAAAAATTTTTTTAGTAATAAATATTTTGAGAAAAAAAGAATTACTTTTGTTTACTGGCTTGACTATCTTTTGCTTTATATATATATATATATATATATATATATATATATATATATATATATATATATATATATATATATATATATATATATATATATATATATATATACAGTGGGCAAAATAATTGTCCGTACATTAATAAAAAATATGGTTTTTTAAAAAAAGCTCTATAACTTTAAATGATAGAAAAAAATAAATTAAACACATAGATAGCGCACAAGAAAACAAATAAAAACGATACACTATCTTTGATTTTCTCCTGACAATTTAAATTATAATTAACTTATTTAAAAGTTTTAAAAATTTTAAAACCAAAAATTGTCCGTACATTTGATTCAAAACGTAAAATTTTGTTTATAAATGATTTTTTTTTAACATCTTGTACTTTTAGGTTAAATAATACTATAATAAATAAAAATAAACCTTTTCTTTACTACGTGGCTATGATGGAAGCAAAAAGAAAAGAATATAGTATTGACTTACGTAAACGAGTAATTTTTAATAGGGAAAATGGATTATCAATCAGAAAAGTTGCAAAAATGTTGAAAATACCACCAAGCTCTGTTCAATATATATGGGAAAAGTATTAAATCAGTGGCAAATAATGGTGTACGAGGCAGAAAAAGATCAACAACGCTAAGAGTTGACAGGTGCATAGTTGGGAAAATCGAGCAGAATAGAAGAAAAAATGCCGTAGAAGTATCAAAAGAGCTGGAAAATGAATTAAATATTAAATTATCGCCACAAACAATTAGGAACAGACTGCATGAAGCCAATATTTTTGCACGGACGCCTCGGAGAAAACCATTCATCAGCATAGTGAACAAGAGAAAACGGTTGCAGTGGGCAAAGGAACATGTTATGAAGGATGAAACATTCTGGAATATGATTATTTGGTCAGACGAGAGTAAATTTAATTTATATGGAGCTGATGGTGGTGCAAAAGTTTATAGAAGAGTCGGATAAGAATATAATGTGAAGTGTTTGAAGGCAACATTTAAATTTGGTGGTGGAAATGTTATGGTTTGGGGGTGCATGAGTGCGTCCGGTGTTGGCAAAATTGAATTTATTGATGAGAAAATGGATCAACACTTATATAGATCCATATAAGAACGGAATTTAGTGGCTTCAGCAGAAAAATTAGGACTTGGAACGGAATTTATATTCCAACATGACAACGATCCAAAACACAAAGCTGGATCTGTAACCAGATATCTTGCTGCAAATGGCATTAACGTGTTCGATTGGGTTGCACAATCGCCCAATTTGAACCCTATAGAACATTTATGGTCGGTGGTGGAAAAAAGAATGAAAGATCGAGCTCCAAAGAATAAAAACGAGCTCAAAGAATTGGTTTTAGATGTTTGGTCATCAATTAATCAAGAAATTACGTCTAAACTTGTCTCATCAATGAAAAATCGTTGTAGAGCAGTTATTGAAGCTGATGGTGGTCCAACAAGATATTAATTTAATTTTAACTAATTTTAATTTAAAAATTAACATAGTGTACGTACAATTTTTTTGTTTAAACTTTTAACTCTTTTCAAATAAACTTATATAACTTTTCATATATTAATATAATTTTAACTAATACACTTAAAATTACTTTAATATTATAATATTTCTTTAAAAACTCTTAATTACAACTATCTAAATACTTTTAAATGTTGTTTTGATCAAATATAGACACTTTTCATTAATGTACGGACAATTATTTTGCCCACTGTATATATATATATATATATATATATATATATATATATATATATATATATATATATATATATATATATATATATATATATATATATATATATATATATATTACAAATATATATATATATATATATATATATATATATATATATTTAAATATATTATACAAATAATATATTTAAATATATATACAAATAATACAACCTTTAAATATATTATACAAATAATATATTTAAAGGTTGGCATTTAATGACTGTGTAATGAGTCCATCATTTTAATAAAATGATTTTTTTTTATGTCATAGTAGATTTTATGTTGTAAATATTTAAATATAATAATATTTAAATAATTTTAATTATTTTTGGGCATCAAAAAAAAGAAAAATTGAAAAAAAAAATTGTAGTGTCCAAAATGCTCATATTGTATCCAGTTTTTAAGGCTTTAGAGTATTACTAACTGTTTCTTAGCTTGTTTTATTCGTGGACCACAGTTATGCCAAGAATGGTAAAGAAGGATTCAATAATCTCCCCTCAAGGTGTGAGGGGGAGGGCCGAGGCCCGCTGAAGGCTCCAGCATGGAGGGCCCGTTTCAGGATGTGGGGACCATGTACCTGACACACCATCAAAAGTAAGCTTATGGAGAAGACCAGCATGGTCTTCTCCATAATAATATTTATTACTCTTCAACAATTTAAATGTCATGTCAACCGTTATGATGAAAGAGCACACTTCCACTGTATTTAACTTATTTAAATGTCTACTTAAATGAGTTAGATACATATAGAAATGTCTATTTTGACCGGGTTTTAGAAATGATCGGTGTCGAATAGATATTTAAAGCAGTGGTCAGCTTGGTAAAGACACGTATTTTACGGGTCCGGTCAGATTATTTACGAACTTATTTGCATAAATTAAATCCAATAATACCAATAATAAAACCAATAAATAATATTTTAAACAAATCCGATTAGTTAATTAATATTTTAAACAAATCCGTGTGGTGGGGTTTAACTTATTTAATCCCAAGAATTATTGCCAAGTTCTTGGAATTAAGACAACCAATCGGATTTGTTCAAAATTACCCGCTTTTTATTTATACGAGTTTGTTCTTTGCATTGAGAATGCTAAAAGTCTTTGCAAAAAAGAAACATTTTTATGTTGACTTATTATTTTAATGTTTATGTATAGTCTATAGAAATAATCGCTACAAGGGATAATTTATTGTTTAAAAGATCAGAAAAAATGATACATAAATTTTTAATTGTCTTTTTTTTCAAACAAGTTTTTGGTTCCTCTGATTGTATCAAAACAAACTTTACAGCCACATCAGGTTTAGTTGAAAGCATTGCTAAATCAAATGCTAGTTGTTATAACTACATTATTAATGTCAAGTCAAAACTAGTTCAACTGACATGGAATAATTTTAAAATGAGTGGAACTATGCCTAATTGCAACGATGGGAATTACATTGAGGTGTTTATTGGGTACGTCTTCAAAAAATTTTTACACTGTTTATAAATTTTTTGTTTAATATTGTTATATTTCTTATTTAAATAGTTAGTTGGGCAGAACCCAGTAGTATGCCCCATTAACAATAGTAAGTCATTGTGTAACCATTTTTGTTTTAAGCATTGCCGTAAAGTTGTAACAAATAACTTACAGTACTAGCTCAATGCAAACCTTATTAACAAATGTAACTTATGAATTTTTTAAATGTCCATTTGCTGTACATATGCTATTCATGAATGCATTTAGGGATCTGGAAGGGGTTTTGATCCACTATCTGCACCTCACAAAAATACACTTTGGAAATTGGTAATTTTTATATTTGACTAGTTGTTATTATTTGATTCCACATCGTTAGCCAATATTACAGATCTATCTTAAAGTTGGGTGTTGGGTAGTGGGTAAGTAGTTAGCGAAATAAATAAAGCTTGAGCTGCTGGCTGGGTCACTGTTTGACCAGACTGGTTGGTAATGTACTCTTAACAAAAGTAAGAATTTATAAAAGTAAATAAAAAAATAGCTGTAACACTTCTGGATTAATAATAACGTCTGAGAGTAATAAGAACTTCTGGAATAATAATAACTTTTAATAAAAACTTCTAATAAAAAGTAATAATAACTTCTGGAGTAATAATAACTTCTAATTAAAAAAATAGTATCAATACTTCTGGAGTAATAATAACTAGAAAGTGTTAACTTCTGGAGACTTAGAGAACCTATCTTAAAGTATTTACTTTATAGGTAAGTTGAAATTTGTTTCAATTTTAAATAATATGAAAAATTTCTGCAACACTTCATTTTTCAATGAAGTTTGGAAGGTAGAAAGAAAATTAGTGTAGAAAATTTAACAGATTACAAATTTAACACCTTACCATGAGAGCATCAACAAAATTTTCACAAGAAATAAAGTTAATAAGCCTAGTAGCCATGCATAAAAGTCATACATAAATTAAGGTAAAATCTTCTTTTTTAAAAAAATTCTAAGTTTATATATGTTTCTTAAAAGAAACACAACAAAGACATGTTTCCTTGACGCTATCAAAAAAGCTCAAAAAACATATCATCAGTTTTAGGCATATTTTTCGGCTCCAGATCTCGCGATTTCTGCATACCTAATAAATTTAATCAAATAAATAACAAATTAGAGTTGGTTAATTAAGTTAAATATAAAGGCACTGCTGCAATACTGCTACAATTTCTTTATTTTTATATACTGCTACAATTTCTTTAGTTAACGATTAACATTTTATAACTTTAAATTGACTTTAATTATCTTTAATTAAACACAGAGGTTGGACGCCTAAAACTAATATCTTTTTTTACAACTTCTTCCTTTTCTCCCTCTCCCTCTTATTTCTTATGAGTAAGAAGTCAGGAGTTATAATAGATTTATAATTATAATAGTTATAATAGTTATTATATTTTAAACTTATGTAAACTTATGTAATTAAGTGTAAAAATTAATATCTCAAATCTCTTCATCATAGATAAAAAAAGGTGTTATCCTAACAATTTTCTCATATATTTTTTTATGTTTACACAATAAAGTAGAGTAGTTGATGATGACTTTTGTCTATGGTTGCTGATGAGTTAAAAAGGAAATTTTGCAATTTTTATAAATATTTGATTGCAAAATATTGTCTTGGCTAATTAATTAAGAGCAAATTATGCATGTTTATTTTTCCGCTAACCTACCATTGACATTGTTTCAAAGTATTGATTTGAAAAGTACTATTTTCAAGATAAATTACTTATTAGCTTTTTTCAAAAAATTTGTATTAAAATACATTATTTAAAATTTATTCTATTAAAGCGCCATAGTATTTTTTCAGACACTTTCAGAATGTTTATATATATATATATATATATATATATATATATATATATATATATATATATATATATATAATTTTATCTGTATATCTATATATATAGATAAAATATACACATATATATATATATATATATATATATATATATATATATATATATATATATATATATATATATATATATATATATATATATTACCTTTATCCATACAGCTTTTTTAGAAAAGAAGGAAAAAAATGGAGAATGATGAATGAAACGATTGCTGCCCCATCCCAAACCCTCAGTCGATGTAGCAGTACTCTACTGTGAGTCAGGCTATTTGTCAGTTGATGTATGTACTGAAGGCTTCTGCAGCAGGCTATTTCAGTATGATGTCAGATTGCTTACTTTAGTTTGCAATATATATATATATATATATATATATATATATATATATATATATATATATATATATATATATATATATATATATATATATATATATATATATATATATATATATATATATATATATATATATATATATATATATATATATATATATATATATATATATATATATATATAATTTTATCTGTATATCTATATATATAGATAAAATATACACATATATATTATATATATATATATATATATATATATATATATATATATATATATTACCTTTATCCATACAGCTTTTTTAGAAAAGAAGGAAAAAAATGGAGAATGATGAATGAAACGATTGCTGCCCCATCCCAAACCCTCAGTCGATGTAGCAGTACTCTACTGTGAGTCAGGCTATTTGTCAGTTGATGTATGTACTGAAGGCTTCTGCAGCAGGCTATTTCAGTATGATGTCAGATTGCTTACTTTAGTTTGCAATATATATATATATATATATATATATATATATATATATATATATATATATATATATATATATATATATAATATATATATATATATATATATATATATATATATATATATATATATATATATATAATTTTATCTGTATATCTATATATATAGATAAAATATACACATATATATATATATATATATATATATATATATATATATATATATATATATATATATATATATATATATATATATATATATATATATATATATACACAGTCAACAAAATTGAAAGAATTTCAGTTTGGCACAAGCATGTCGACCTAAGCCGACGTCAGGTCGGCAAAAAAAAAAAGGATTTTTTGCTTTCTGTTACGATATAAGGATAATGGTTAATTGATTATAAAAGAATGGCTTTATAATAGCATAGCTTAAGACAATATTTTAAAGAATAGGCATTTAATTCTCAAGTAGTAGGGGTGGTGTTTTTTAATATTTAATTGTAGTATAGTATGAACTTGTAACTATATGTAAATTGATAGAGAGAAAACAAAAGTTAAAAATACTAAAAATAGTTTTTTCTTTTTTTTTATATAAACATTGTTGCAAGCATGGAAAATAAGGAATTAAAGTGGTCAATTCAACCAGCCAACATAAGGAATAGACGGTCAATTGTTTTTTTTGGACGGTCAAAATTGTTTTTTGTTAAAGTCTTAGTAATAGTTCTTCATGACTAAACTTTATAAATACAAAAATAAGTTAATGCTTGATGGGTAATGAAAAAAAATATTTAAAAAATAACAATTTTAAATAAAATCAATGTTTTTTTAAAAGTGCAAACATATCATCAGTTTTAGGCATATTTTTCGGCTCCAGATCTCGCGATTTCTGCATACCTAATAAATTTAATCAAATAAATAACAAATTAGAGTTGGTTAATTAAGTTAAATAAAAAGGCACTGCTGCAATACTGCTACAATTTCTTTATTTTTATATACTGCTACAATTTCTTTCAAAAGTTAAAAATACTAAAAATAGTTTTTTCTTTTTTTTTATATAAACATTGTTGCAAGCATGGAAAATAAGGAATTAAAGTGGTCAATTCAACCAGCCAACATAAGAAATAGACGGTCAATTGTTTTTTTTGGACGGTCAAAATTGTTTTTTGTTAAAGTCTTAGTAATAGTTCTTCATGACTAAACTTTATAAATACAAAAATAAGTTAATGCTTGATGGGTAATGAAAAAAAATATTTAAAAAATAACAATTTTAAATAAAATCAATGTTTTTTTAAATATGCAAACATGCAATTGATAATTTTTAATTTATTTAAAAATAATTTCATTGTAATGACTTCGCAAATGGCGGGAATAGCTGATTAAAAAATAATAGAAATGATTAAATGAAAAAAAAAGGATTGCTTAGGATTTAGGGTTGAATGCAAGAAGCGAACTAGAGTCAAGCTCGACTTGAACTTTACATTGCAACCAATAGCGACAGAGTATGGGTTTTCCCCTCAAAAAATACTCTGCTGCCATTGGTTACAAAGTAAAGTTCAAGTCGAACTTGACTCAAGTTTACTTTTTGCATTCCACCCTTAAAGTATTATGTTCTTAATTACATATAATAATTTCGAATAATGAAATAAATCTCTGAAGTTGTAGACGAAAAACCTTTGCGCATAAAGACATTTTAAATAAATATAAAGATTTTTTAATAATCCTGTTTAAAAAGAAATGCGCAAGTGCTTAATTAATAATTTTTAATTTATCTATAAACCATTCATTCATTTATTTGCAATTTGCAGCAAAACTTACGAGAAAATAAATAAAAATATAAGAAAAATAAAACAAATTGACTAGATAAAAAAAAAGCTGTACATAGTTAAATACATAATTTGTTATATATTATTATATTATTAATAAAATAATAAATAAAATTTTTATATTAAAACAGTAGTAAAATAAAAACTTCAATTATTAAGAAAAAGGATTTTCGCTATCGGTAAAATAAAATTAATTTAAATAAGTAAAGTTAAAAACTTAATGATTATAGTTTACAGCGGCACGTATACGTTACGTACGTTACATGCAATAGGTTCGTTAACAAAGTGAATTAATGATTTCAGTCTTTTTAAAGCAGAAAAATTACTGATTTTTATTAATATTCAATAATTATTAGATAAAAGTTTTATCAACAATGAATTTAATATATACTCGAATATATAATAAGGAGGAGAATTAATAATATAAATAATTATTGAATTATAATGATATAAATTAAGTTTTTAATTATATTGACTTATATATTTATATATTGAATTATATTGATGAAAAAAAAATATTGGAAAGTTTTTTAAACAAAGATAAAAAACAGGCATTGAAAAAAAAAAGGATTAAAAAAAAAAATTTGCTTTAACAACCTGCAATTAAAGTAGCATATCATAAACAAGAAAACTATTTTAAACCTTTTTCATAATTTAAATAATTTTTAAAACTTTTCTAAATAACATCTTAGCTATTTGTCACACCTTCCTTTTAAATCTCTGATTTTTTTTCAACTGGTCAATCATGACTGGCAAGAGTTCATTTTGGGAGGTCAATATAGCATTTTTAGTCATTTCAGGTGGTCATTGACTGTTGACCGGCTGTTATTTTCCACACTGAATATTGCAAACTAGTTTTTTATATTAACATGTTCAACATATCACTTTAAAAACAAGTTTGCACAAGTTTACAACATGTAATCAACAAGTTTGCAACATGTAATCAACAAGTTTGCAACATGTAATCAACAAGTTTGCAACATGTAATCAACAAGTTTGCAACATGTAATCAACAAGTTTGCAACATGTAATCAACAAGTTTGCAACATGTAATCAACAAGTTTGCAACATGTAATCAACAAGTTTGCAACATGATGTTGCAACCTTGTAAATTATTGTCAATCAGGATGACTATGAACACTTTTTAAACTTTTTGCATCATTAAAATTTTTGCATCATAGAAGAAAACTGTTAGCCTAATCACTACTTTTTTTTTTAACAGAACTTTATACTGTCCAGCTTCCTGGAAAAGCTATTGGCCTGATCAACATTATGCAGTAATTAACTTATATTTCTTACTTTATATGATCGTATTTGTATTTTTAAAATGACGTGAGAGTAATGCTTAGTCGATTTGAGGTGGTATTGACACTTCATAATGTTTTTATTTTTTAGATTATGGGTAGATTCGTTTTGCAAATGAATTTGTGCCTAAGTTTTGATTGTTCTTAAGAATAACTAAAATGAATTTGTTAAGAACCATTCCACTGTCTTTACCACCAAATTCTTTTTTTTCCCCTTGAAGATGTTTTATCACCTCAGTTTTGCAACTGAATCAAAGTAACACAATATATAGCTCTATTGTGAAATCAAAATCTTGTCCTTGTGAAATGCATACGAGTTTCTAATATGAATAAGAGAAATGTTGCAAACTTGCTTGCACATGACATGTTTTAAAGTTGTATGCACTTAACAAGGACAAGATCACAGTCTAGTAAACTCTAGCATATTTTTTTTTTGCCTTACAACTTTCTATTTCTAGATTGTGAATAAAGTTTAACTATTTTTATATATAATATTTTGTTTGTGGCTTTTTACTAAAATTTGCAGTTTACAATATAAGCTTTAAAAAAAAGATCAAATACCAATATAAAATGACATATGTAATATGTCATTTTATATCAATGATATATGTTTGCTTGTTTGGAAATATTTTTAAGAGGAGAGTAAAGATACTAAATAACTAGTAATGTCTTTTACTTTGAAATTTAGTTATTAGAATGATTTTTATTTTCTTTATAAGTATTTAACTAATTTAATGTTTTAATACATATTTCAATAATATTTTTTAATATTTAACTTGCTATATATTTTACAAGAATAATAAATTGCTGGCTTGCTATAAAAAAAGATTGATTAGTTTTGGCAGGGCCGCCGAGAGCTGTCACACTGCCTGGGACAGCAATCCTGATTGGCGCCCTTATTTATCAAATTTTCCCTTTATTATATATGAAGGACTTTTTTTAGGTACCTACGTTTCATTTGGCGTCTATTGGATATCTGCCACCCGGAACAAACTGTCCCTTGTGACCCCCTCTAGGCGGCACTAGAGTATATATATATATATATATATACATATATATATATGTATATATATGTATATATGTATATGTATATATATGTATATATATATATATACATCAAGTTAACGCCAGAACATGCAGAGACGGCTGGTTGAAGTGATGCAGAAAAGCTGTGCAGCCAAGCGAAAAAAAAAGTTGAATTAAGAACTATTCCACTTTTACCACATTAGTGGATCACTCGTGAGTGGTACAGCAGCTTCTGCTATGTAAATCTGCATCTCCTGTCTAAAAGTTGTTGGTAGTGAGCTGGCATTTGTTGTTGGCTTGTTAATACGCGAAAATAAATAAAAACATAGAAACAAACTATTTAATTAATTTTTCAGTTTTTTTGTAATCTTTGCTTTAAAGAGAAGATTTACAAAACAAACAAACAAACAAATAAAAAAAAGAACTTAACAAAAGAGTAAAATGAAAAAAATAACTGAATTGAGGAAACTAAAACTCTAAGAAAAAACAATTTTAAATAACAATTATTAATTTAGAATTTACTTATTGAGAATTACATTTGAAATAAACACAAAAGTTTTCTATAATGTTTTCGTATGTGAGACATTATCTTAACATAATCTTAAATAAAGTCACTAATTACTTCTAAAGTTTGTTTACAATAAAAACATTTCATTTAAATTATCAAAGAATATTATATATAATTTTATTTTATTTATATAAGTATTTTATATAATAAATTGAACTATTTCTATGATTAATTTTATCAACATGACTTCTAACAAAGATTGGATTTTATGAATGTAAGCATTAACAATGATGTCTTATAAGCAGAAAATATTGGCGCAAAAACCCTAGCTATGTAATTTAACCTAATTATAATTATGATTTGCGTTTTATTTAAAATCAACTTATTAAAAAAATGTTTTTATAACCTAAAAATTCAAAAATTATAATATTTTTTCTATTTTTTTGTATAGCTGTAGCTTTCTTTTACAGTATTTTTATTAAATATTTTGTGCAATTTATTAGAGGGACGGAAATGTTTGTCTATTAATTTTAAAAACGCTTACCCAATATTTATTGAAACATTTTTGCTGTACAGTGAGTTGAAGCAAGTTATATGTCTATTTCGGTTTTGATTTTTGCAATTTTAGTTTTTGTTTATTTTTTACTATAGTATAAAAGTTATGCAATTCTATATAAGCATAACAATAAAAAGACAAAAATGTTGAATCCTATGCATCATATTACTTATCTAAGCATATTAAATCCTAGACCAGAGCTTCATATTGTTTATGCAGCGCCAATCACAGACCTGGCCCCGACTATTTTTTATTAAACCCAGACCCGGCCCTAGTCAAATTTTAACCTGGCTTACTTACTGTAATATACTTCAATAAAGTGAACTATGTATTGTCTAAATATTTGATAGGTTTGTATGAATATATTTATATTACTATAAATTGATTCATTTTTATTCTATCTTTAGATGCGGATCTAACAAAAACTTAGTTTCACTCTTCTGCTCAAAAAATATGAAAATGAAACCTCACAAAATATATTCATATGATGGATGCATAGATATTGTTTATAGGAAAAATGTCAAGTCGTTGAATGATAACTATTTCTCTGCTTCTTACATTACATATTCACAAAATGTTTCTTTGGGTCCTACTACTTGTTTGAGGTATTTATATATAACCACTAATATATATAAAAAAGTGATTTTATTATTTTATCTTATTTTTTATTTCTCTGTTCTTTAAGAACATAAAGCACTCTATTAGTAGAATACACTAACATTATATATATATATATATATATATATATATATATATATATATATATATATATATATATATATATATATATATATATATATATATATATATGTATCAGTGCATGTGATGAAAATCGCCCTGCGCAATATTTCCTGCTTGTAATACTAAAACAGGTTATCAATGAGCATGATTATGCATGCTCGGCATCAAGTCTTCGAGAGCGATCTTCAGAGTTGGAAATTGGTTGCTATGAGGCTGTCCATAAATTATGTATGCAAGTATGGGGAGGGGTCACTCTGAAGCGTACCAGTGCGTGCAAGTGAAAGGGTGGACAATATTTTGCTTGAAATTTTTTTATGTGAAGTCCGGAAATCAGATAAAAAGCGTTTGTTTTTTAGTTATTGCATTTGTCTATCTGTAGGAAAAAATATGTTACTGCAGTTTTAATATTAAATAAAAACAATGAAATAACTTCATTTATTACAAGTTGACAACATAACATAACTATATAATATTACAACATTGTTTCCTTTTGGAGTCAAATTAACATGCTTGATTGCGGACATTCTAAACAACTGAAACGTTTTTAATTTAATTTAAAATAATAGTTAAAAATAAAAATAAAAAGATTAAGAATAATTCTTTTTTTTTTACAAAAGATGCGTGAAAAATTAAAAATAATAAAGCAAAAGAATCTTACATATTTGCAAAATCTTGTGGATTTAAACTTTTGATTTTTCAAAATTCAATCAAGTTTTAATTTTTTATTTAAATTTTCTATTCTCATTGGGACAAAACGTTTTGAAAATAGTAAACATTTTGACAAAAAATATTTGATATTTCAACGTTTTGATGTTTTTAAATTTTAAATATAATAGTCATTAATTAATAGAATGTGATCGAACCTGTACAACATTGAAGCTATAAATGAAGTTTTAGTTTTATAAATTTGTTTCACTAGATATTTATTTATAAGATATTTATAAATATTACATAGATATTTATAAATATTGCGCTAGATATTTAACTTTTTAACATTTAAGTTTGAAATTTTCATTGAAACGTTGCAAGTTTTGATATTTTATTACATGGACTTTTATGCAATTCAAAATGAAAGTTTTAGTTAAGCGAAGTTTTTTGTCAAATGGACCCTAAAAAACTGTACGAGTTGGCGAATGGTTCGACTTCTTTATTTAACAATATGCAAATTGTTTAAACATAAAGAAGTTTGAAGAAGTTTTTCGACTTCAGCAAAAAAATTTTCCTAAAAATATTTTCTTTAAAATCAACTTATAATTTTCTCCCTCGCAAGTTCTTCAGACAAGCGTGATCTTTTACTTTTGTAACAAAACTAATGAGCGCTTACTTTTTGCTCCTGTATGGTTATCACAAGACTTAATAGTACATGCATAGACTGATAAATAGCCTGACTCGCAGCAGAATGCTGCTACATCTAAACAACCTATAGAAGATATATATATATATATATATATATATATATATATATATATATATATATATATATATATATATATATATACATAAATGTGGTAGTGGTTAGTGGTAAAGCACTCACTTCATAAGCAAGAAGTTTTGAGTTCGATCCCCACTAATGTACAGTGAAATATAGGGTGGCCAAACTTTAATTTAATAAATTTTATTTTTGGTTTTTTATATGGTGGATTTAAAAGCTCAAACACATTCACTATGAATATGTTAAATTATCAAAAATTTAAAAAAATTTTAATAATAAGATATTTAGGTACAAATTTAAAATTTTTGGTAAAAAGTATAATTCAAGAAATATTTTATGGTTGTTCTTACCAATTTTAAAAGAATTACTTTTAATATTTTCCCGGAAATATTCACTTTTAAGATCTAGTGAGACAAATTTTAGATAATATAGGTTTTTGAAAATAATTTTGAATATAGTTTGTAAAAGTAAGGCTGAAATATGAAAAAATATAGAAAAATAATATAGTATTTTAACTTTAGTGGGGCTGGAAAACTAATATGCAGCTGTTTACATGGTGGTCTTAGCATTTATTTATGCTAAATGTGCACTAGAAAAATTTAGTTTAAAATGTTGCTGCTCCTTTTGCTACTTTTTAAAAATAATTGTTTTCAAGTGCAAGGTCTTTGTAATAATTTTTTCCTGCATCTGTAGTCGGTGGCAAATCCACTTGATGTTTTTTACAATTTTAGACTAACTCCTAATTTAAATATGTTCATGTTTATGTTGAATGAGTGCATTTGAAAAGAAAAGGTGATTGGAGCCTGGAAACAAAAATACTCTAACAGATTTACTGCCCAAATGCTAGTGTAATAAGTAGTAAAATATTTTAATTTACTATTTTCTACTATACAATTTATTTAAAGGTTTTAAACTCCGTTTAATTATCTTTAAGGATTTGAGCATTATGACCATGTAAAATTTACAACCCCTCATTTTGATGCGGTTAAAAACTTTACATATCCAAAAACGTTCGACTTTTTGGAACATGATGATGAATTTGAATTTAGAATTAGATAGTAAATTAAAATATTTTATTAAATGCCCTTGGATTTGGATTAGAGGTGAATCTTTTAAAAAGTTTTTGTGTCCAGTCTTGATTAGATTAAAAAATGATAAAGCAAAATTTTTTGTTTGAAAAATGACTTATTGAAAAATACAAATAATTCTATGTTAAATAATGCTTAAAAATAATTTTAAAAAAAAGGTACATATATCAGAGGGGAGGGGGTATCAGGGAACAATCCGCTATTCCTCCTAAATAGTTTTAAGTACCTGTTCATTTTATTTTAGCTGTGAGCATTTTTAATTTTAGATTATTTTAGTTTCAAAATTACTTTCTTTCGGCATTTTTAATATGAATAAAATAAAAATGATTAGTGAGTAGGGATTGCAATCCCGGGCATGAATTACGATCCCGGGATTTCGGGATTGAAGTAAATAAAATCCTGGTATCCCGGGATTTTATATAATGTGAGTTATTTGCTAAAAAACAGAACTTAATACTGCATGTATTAAGTTAATACTGCATGTATTAATATATGAATATACTTTTTGATGTTATCAATTCTTTATTTAATTTCATTATGTTTTAATGACTTACATTAGTTTTCTATGGCGCCTTAAATTGTTTTAATTGTGTAACAGGCAGCAGGTGTATATAAAGATCTTAAAATAATGCAGAAATATATATACCGTACCTTCCATATTATGTTTTAAGATTACAGACTTTACAGAATAACCTTCATCAAATAATTGGATATGTAAATAACATTTGAACATTTAAAGTGTACTTGACTAAAGTAACTAAACAATCAAAATTTCAAAATAAATTTGTAAACATAAATTTTCTTAAATTTGGGTAACGATGTAGCTGCTGTAGCAACAAGCTACTTTGTAAAAAATAACATAATAAGTTGTTTGTTAATATTGAGAGACAAAAATTAAAGAAAATCTTTATTTTATATTTATAAATAAATGGTAGCTAAATAATAAATGTAAAACAAAAAAACAATTCATATTAAATGCATATTTTATTTACAAACTTTCTTTTTTTGTCTGAAAATATGCCCAGAGCAATAGTAGAGCATTTAAGGTTTGGTCATTTAGCCTACTCCTTATTTTACTTCCCAAATACCCAGCTGCAGAAAATGCCCGCTCAGGTTCGATGCTCGTCGGTGGAATAGATAACAAATATTGGTATACTAATTCCAAATTATGCCCCCGGTTTCCACCATTTTCAAACAGATGCATTTATTTCTTTCATGATTGACATTAAATTTGAAGTTTGTGTTTCTGGTTCAATGGCTTTCATGCTTTGTGCAATTTGTTCTTGTAACTTTTCTCTTAAAGACAGAGAGGCTCGAACTTGTGATTCTTCATTTCTAACGACAGCCATTATATTTTCATCAACATCAATACTTGATTTTTCTAAATTATCATTTTTAAAAGCAGCTAGTCTCTCAATAAGTTTTTTTATCTGCTTCCTAATAAGGGTTTTAGGAGGAACTCCTAAAATTTTGCAGACATTTGTTTCATCATTCACAGCATCATATTTTGGATTTTGAAGGTATTTTAAAACACCAGAAATTTCTTCACATCATCTTTTTTCCATTCTTGTTTTTATAGCTTGGAACATTTTATTAGCAAGGGAGATTGTTTTTGAGCAATCTGCTGGAATAAAAATATAAGTACTGCATCTGCAGTGCATACATTAGCATCTCGTCTGCATAACGCATCTACTGCTAATTTGACAGGTGCAAATACCTCTATTATTTCCGAAAGAACCACAAAATCACTTTCGTTTAAGGAAACTGGGTGGTTTGAGTCAATTAAAGCTTTCTGTATACATGTTTTTAAAGCAAGGAAACGCTCTAGCATTGATAGAAGAGAGTTCCATCTTGTTTTGCAATCCAAAATGAGCGAAAGCTTGCTGCCTTTCTCTTCTTTGACATATTTTTGCAAGACTGCATCATTTTTTGTCGGGGATTGTTTAAAAAGAACAACTACCTTATGGGCTTTTTTCACTAGTTCATTGATATTTTGTTCATTAGTGAGTAAATCCATATTTGCTATCCCATCATTTGTTGGGGGAAGAAAGCCTTATCCCATTTCCTTGTCGATATTTTCTTCATCTTCGTGATCATCTGTTTCATCAACAATATCTTGAGAGTCCTTCAATGGTGCTTCGGTGTCGGACATTGGCGTAGAACTTTTTTTATAAAGAACATCACAAACTGCAAGGTGAATTCCATGGACTAAACACAACTGGTAATCAGCCTCAATAATTTTTCCCACACGAACCATTACATTTGGACCATCGGTAACAATAGCAACAATGTCTGTATCAATATTAACATTATGCTCCCTTAGACGTGTTTTTAAAACATCAAT